GTTACATTGAGTTAAACATTTCGTGGAGGAACATGCCCCTAGACTCCTCTAGAAGGTGATCACCTTTGGCACTCACTGACCACTTTGTTACATTGAGTTAAACGTTTCATGGAGGAACTTGCCCCTAGACTCCTCTAGAAGGTGATCACCTTTGGCACTCACAGCACTTTACCATGTGCTAAAATTTTACTTTTTCAAGAGGCTCACTCAAACAGACTACTAAAAGTTGGTAGTCCTGTGTTTATCAAGACTGAAGGTAAATATGAGCATATGACAGAATTGGATTAATAGTTTTGGTATTGTTTTGAAACTTCCACATCATGGTATGTGCCTGAGATATTAATTATTATGGAGATTGTTTAGTGCTAGTATATTTGATTATGAGTGATGAATTAATGTTTTTTCATTATGTCTAAATCCAAGGGCCATACGAGAATATATGGGAGTATTATAAGTAAAAGTTTTACTTAGTAGCAGTAATAAGCAATATAAAAATAAAATGAAAAACTTTACACTTAAGTGTTGTTCAAATGTGATATGGTACTTCATTTTTGTATCTTTTTTCTGGATTTTTGATGTGTTGAACTTACTAAAATCTTAATTTTCTTTACGTTGTTCAGCTGGAATGTAAGCTAATGGTTATGATCCAGTTAGCCTTTGCTAGATATGTCATGAAAGGTAATTTTTAAACTGACTTGTTTTAGTAAGCTTGCAGTCATGATATTTTTGATTTCAGGTTATTCCATGCCACTTTTAATGCTGGCATAACATCAGTAGCAAAAGAGAAAATATATTTTTGTTAAATTTATCAGAGCAAAACGTTTTTTACAATCATAACATATTGTTAACTTAAAAGGTGAAATCAATTATAATCAATTATATAAATTGAGGAATAAAAATGTTTGATTTTTATAATAGAAAATTAACAACTTCAACACATAGACAGATAAGATATTCCCTATAAGTCAAAGGTAAAAATAAGAATAAACAGTTAATATATGTGTAATTATTTATGAAGAAATGCAATGAGAATAGATTTTCACTTACTAAAATATAACATCTTAATAGGAGCCAGTTCTTTATTATTACGACCAAAGACTACTGATGAGGTATCTGAAATATTAAAGTACTGTAACAAGCACAAGTTGGCAGTTTGTCCACAAGGAGGGAACACAGGGTTAGTAGGAGGGAGTGTGCCAGTTTTTGATGAAATAATTTTATCCACTACTGATGAATAATATTCTAACAATGGATGAACTAAGTGGTAAGTTTTTCTTAGTATGACATTTATAAGTTTATCCATGAATTAACACTTGATGTGCCAAGAGATTAATAAATATAGATTAATATATATTTCTAAATAATCTATGAAGTTGTTCAAGATTTTTAAGATGTGGTCATAAGCCATGGGGATAGCTGGGAACAAAATGACTGTATGCATGTTGTTAATGTAGATTATGGAAAAACCCTTTGTAACCACTTACTAGTAATTGAATATGAAATTAAACTTTATAACTAAAAATAAAATAAATATTTGAAATACTGGTCAGTCTCTCTCTTTTTGTTTTTATCTGTGACACTTAAGAAATAATTTTTATGGTAAGAATTACCATAAATGTATTAATGACTGTAATAGTTTCAGAAAGTATGAAAAAGTCAATGAAGGTCACACAAACTTAGCATTAAAATAAAATATATTAAAGCAAGTTAAGAAACATATACTTTAATTATTTTAAGAAACACTATTTTTGTGTACAACTTGTCATTGTCTTTCTGCTGCCTGTGGAGTAAAGCCAATCACTAATATACGTCTTAAAAATAATCACGTATAGAAACTATGGATAAATTAGGTCCAGCTTCTATTTTACTTGAGTGATTAAACCTGTTGCAATTAAAAATATTTCATCCAAAATTTTCATTGCAGCATTGTGCTGTTAGTACAAATAAGCTGGAAAAAAATGATGACTATTTTTAACATAATAAAAAACAATATATCAATTAAAAAACACAAATTATAATATTCAATAAATTTCAAATATTTACTATGGTAATTATCATGTGAAATAAAAATATGGTGCCGTAGCTCCAGTTCATCACATATAGTAACAAATGTTGCTAAAATAGCAATATGAAACATTGCATTTGGTTATGCTAATGTAGTGAAACATTCATTATCAACTTATCGTGAAATAACTTGAGAAGTATGTCAAAACTTATTAAATTATCTTTAGTATAATTTTACAGAAAAAGTTAACCTTAACAGGGATATAGATCTTACCAGACTTCAAGGCTATACAAGTCTGTTATTCAGGTACATTAATATCCAACAGACATATAAGTATTCACAGTATGCAACAGATCTGTATGTGCTAAGTAGAGAATAATTTTGAACACAGGCAACAAAGGAAAAGAAACAAACCTAAGTGAATGAATAGACACAAAATATTCACTGTGAATCACTGGGGTCTTTTATATAGCTATACTGTATTTGGAAACTGTCTAGCTGTATAAAAGACCCCAGTGATTCACTGTAGCTGGAGGAATATACATACCTGCATGAGGCAAAGACGGAAATAGTAGTTATATGACACTTTCAAGTTAGACAAAGTCCTCAGTAATCATCCCCATTATACATTAATTGGAGATAAACTGTTCAACTCATTTAATGAACAACCTTTGTGATATGGAACCTTTGCCTAAACTAGAGAACTATTGTTTGTTTACAAGGATGCATGGAGGACACCTGAATGAAAATTTAGAAATATTTCTATGAATATACCCAAATAAAGTTTTATTTCTCACTAATTGTGAAAGGTTAAAGTATAGACCCTTTTTTCTTTCTCCTAACATATGATGAAAGAGTTAGATTTTCAAGATGACATCACATAGTAGCATTCAATAAGAATTTGCAACAATTTCCATGAAGAAATAGACCATTGGTCTCAAAAACCTACTAGGATGGAACAATTTTTTATATTTGGTGGTGTTTATTTCTATGAACTAATGTATAATTTAAGTTACACAGCGTTAAGCCAAAATAATGTTTTCCATGCATTACAGTATACAAAAAATGTATATTCAAAGTACATATGTAGATAATAAGATGAAGACTGAATTCTTTTTCAAACAAATTTAAATTTCGTGGAAGTCAATTTTGTGGCTAGTAGTAAGCAAACATTTGCACCTATAAAGAGCAGTATAAGTTGAGAAAAGCTATTTGTCAGGAAGATTATATATCGTATTGCAATTTCAAAATTAAGTTAGCCCTGACATGAATATAAACATGGCTTTAATCTCAAAACTAATAAAGTATACAAAAACAAAATACAGCACAAATGCAGCATCAGTCCCCACCTACCTTTACATGTATTCATGTGAGACATCTGTATGATACCTTGCAAATAACCAATGTTTGCTTACTACTAGCCTTGATACTCCCACCTACCTTTACACTGTATTCATGTGAGACATCTGTATGATACCTTGCAAATAACCAATGTTTGCTTACTACTAGCCTTGATACTCCCACCTACCTTTACATGTATTCATGTGAGACATCTGCAAATAACCATACTGCAACCCTCCATCAATAGGAGTGTGACTGTCATAAATAGTGCCTTCTCTTCCGTGCAGCCCTTAATCACTTTTCTTGAATGGCAGTATAACTGTCAGGACATGCTTTTTTGCTTGTGTTTTCAGACACAATTTTTACTTAATTGATGAAGTAATTATTTGGCCATATATACTTCTTCCTACTATAAATTTTCTAATTTTTTACAATTTTGCAAATCCTGTTTGGAGACAATTTTTTTTATTCCCAGTCAACTCTACTGGTTATGTGACATCTACCACAGCTGATTGGCCAGCCACTTCAGTGGCATCTGAGCAAGCTTTATCTGCTCAGGAAGTAACAGTTATGGTTTTTATAGAAAGTTGGTTTCTTTTATGCAGTCTTCTGAGTAAACTGATGTTTGTCCTTACGTACCTTGTAAGGGTTTGTCTGAACATAAAGATGAGAATTTGGATAGCCTGTTTCTCCCTAGCACATTCCACACAGTCGCGTGTCATTTCGAGGGAGGTGCCCAGTCCTTCTTCCTCATTTTTAGACTTAATCAATCAGGTATTTAACTCCTGAAAATATAACTTAATGATAAAGTAAAACATGAACGTGATAATAGGAAGCATTTATTAAATGTTTTAGAATCATCAGTAATTTAAAGGTACAAAACAAACAAATAATATTTGTAATTACAACAGAAGTATATACATAACAAGTAAACAATTTGAATATACAGTTATAACACAAGAAAATAAAAACTGTGGCACAGGTGAAATAGTTAAAATAAGTTTAAATCCAGTGAAGACTGTGTATTATTTATGGATGGAAGGAGAGTTTTTTATGTATATTGTTTCTTTTATAAGAAGTTCAGTATCATGTTTGGCTGTTGAAAGAATTTTATAGTTGGAGATAGGAATCAGATATCCTGTTTCTGTATTGTGCTGATAGATATCGGAGTTGGGAGGATTTGTATCTTTTCTTCCAGTTTTTATAGATATGCCCATGTGATCACATGCTTGTACTTAAAGGGGACATTTGGTTTCAACAATATAGGAGGCCTTACAGTCTCTGCACATGTATAAGTAGATGAGATGTGAACAATGGGCAGTTGGCAAAGATCTTTGCATTATGTGAACGATTACCTACTTCTAGCTTTCTCCTGAGAAACAGCTCAGGTTGGTTAGTTGAAGAAGGTAGAGAAGTCTTTCTTCACCCCCACACAATACCTAGTTCATCTTGGGGTGTTGTTCAATTTCCTACTTAATTGAGCCCAACCTTCTCCACCTTGGTGGAGGGCTATGGAGCTCTTAGTTTGCAGCCTCTCCTCCTCTCCTTCTACTGTGTGAGAGGTTCTCTGTCTTTGGATGATGTGGGTTTCTCTGTATGCCCTCATCCTTCTTGGTCATGCCCATATGCATCAATGGGTTTTGTTGGAGCAGTGGAGCTTCATACGGCATCCCTTGGATGCCCTTCTTACATCCTGGTGGATGAATCGAGACATCACCACTATTTGTGTTCCTTATCCTCCTCCTGACTATGGTGTCACCTTTTTACGGATGTTTCTATTTCCAGTTGGGGTGCTTATCTGGATGCTTGGGAGGTTTGGAGGCAGTGGTCTCTCACTTAGAGTCCTCTTTCCCTGTCAGTCTTTTGGAGCTCCTTACAGTTCTATTTGGTTCACTTCCTTCCACCCCTTCAAATCCAGTTGGTGTATTCTGACAACTCAATATCCAGGTAAGGGAGCACTTGGCCAAGAGACCTCTAATTTCGGACACTCAATCTCCTTTATTGGGCCCCCAGCCATCAAATAGTTTTGTTGGCTTGTCATATTTTTGGTGCATGAAATATGTCATGGATCATTTATAACACCCAGACAGGATTCTCCCTATGGAGTGGTCACTGGACCCATGGGTGTTTTGGGGGCTGTGTGCCCAATGGGGTGTTCCTTTGCCACTCATCTCATTTCTCATTTGCAATGGTTTTGTTCTTCTGTTCTAAACCCTTTGGCTGGAGCAGTGAATGCTCTTAGTCATGATTGGTGCCCACTCTCCTATTCATCTGCTTCCCAGGTCCTTTTCATCATCCAGACCACTCTGTGTTGAGTTCTGTTGGTAGTTTCATATTGGGCAGCTCAGCCGTAGTTTCTACTTTTGCATCGACTACTGATGTTGCCTCCTCTTCTTCTCCCTCTTTCCCCCACTTTCCTCTGTCAGCCCTTGTCTGGCATGCGTCATCTGTTTATTTCCACACTCAGGCTTCACATGTGACTTTTGTCAGGTCCCTGGCCTGGTGGACCAGACTTTTGCAGTGCATTGCATCCTTGTTTCCCATTTAGTTCATCCTTCCTCCATGGCAGTGTACTAAAGAAAGTGGTATGTACTGTAGTTTGTCCATACATTGTGGTTTCCCTCTGTCACGTCCGACCCTTCCCCACATCATTTTCTTTCTAACCTGGATCTTTGATAGCTTACCCATTATGGGTTTTTAAGTGATGGTACCTTCTATTTTATCATATGATGGTGTTAATGTTACTAACACAGGACCTGTGGCTATTGGGGATGTGTTGTCTGTGGAGGATGTGACAGTCATTGTTCAACAACTTGTGGGCTCCACATGCACACTGGGTTTCCTCCTCCCATCCATTTAGTTGATGTTTCTTCTCCTCAGTTTGAACGTGACCAGGATGTTTCTCCCACTGGGGTTAC